TAAACATCACAGCGTTTGAAGACCTTTTTTTTCCCCTATTCTTAAATTCTTCCATCTCAAAAAAGAGCTCGTTTATACCGCTGAAAGAACTTGACAATTCAAATTCGTACTTCCGGTTCAAATGCCCCACCCCACCCGGGGTAAGGTTAAAATTCTCACCCACGAAATGGCCTTTTTGATCGAATTCTCCTCCTTCTCGGGCACGGACGTCAGTCAAATGTCCGTGGATTGTCCGGGAGGGGAGGTTGTTGAAACTTCGAATTGATTGGTGCATTAGCGGGTAATCCGTAATTCTACGCAAGAGATTATTTGCTTATATTCTCTTGTTCAAAGATGTGCGTGCTCTGATTTGATGATGAATGATCGGGAATACTCTCTTAACTTTAATGACTATATGAATAGATGTTGTTAAGTTTGTGTCGTTTTCCCTTAGGTTCTGGGTTTGGATTGACCGATTGAAATTACCCTTTGTTACCCTAGAGAATCTTGCCGATGACTTCTGTAGAAGACTGATGTTACAAGAAGTAGGATTTTTTGCTCGTTTATATGCAACCGGAAATCCCACGATCTACGTGCTGACTCTTTGCTGCTACCCACTCCATCTTAAAGAACAAGTGCAAACTCCTATATCTCCAGATCTTCGCCGCGTTTGTGCAGGGGGAGGAAACTCGCGGAAGCCACTGTGTAAAGAAGATTGGATGTCTGTGTCTCTTTCCGAAGCATTTACTTTGATGCAAGAAGAAAATCTAGACAACTTCTTGAAGTGAGTTTATTAATTTTTGCTTATCCTTTTCCCACTGTGTCCGGCAACTTGGAGCAGATGAGTGAGGAGAAACATATCTTTTGCTGGGACAAATAGAAATACCTAGTATTTATATCTTCGTTTAATTTGTTGGTGCCAGGTTTCTCGGAACTGATCCTTATGAAGAAAGTGCAAGAGGTTCCATGCAGTAATGCTAAACTGAAAGAACCACTAGTTGCTGGACCTATCCTTCACATCTCACCTTCTGAACCAGTTCACCTTTTAGCACCTGCTAGGCTCACAATCCCTGTTACGCTCCGGGAAGACATATCCAAATGTCCGCATTATTCGGCCACTGACGTCAGGATATTTTGCCGAACCTCTGAAGAGGATGAAAGAGAATGGAATGAAGTCACAGAGCAGTTAGAAAATATAGCGGTTCTTGAAAATGGAACAGTGACGTTTACGGTAAATCACTTCTCAGAGTAAGTATACTCTTCTGGCTGTTTTGAAAGCAGCAATAAACTGCAAAGCATTCAAATGGGTAGGGTCGTAGTAAATCTTTTGCAGAAAAGACATGCATCATCAGGCGACACCAGGGTGTACAAAATTACAGAAAAGAGGCAAAAAACAAGAACAAAGGAAACCAAACGACTAAATTATTACTCTAAATCCGATTCGTCATCTATAGGTATTTATTATTATTGTTTATAAACGAGATCTCGTGGGAGAGCGATTTGTTTTGTCCGCCCTTAACTGACGTAAACGCAGGCATGCTACGCATGCAAAAGTTGTTTTTTTCCATGAGTGGGTTGAAATAGGCTAAGTAACTGATGTTTGCATTTTTGTAAAAGGAAAGAGCCTTTACTTTCAAAAGATTCCAATGAAAATAATGGAGAGCAAAGAAACCTTCCAATTTATCCAAAATAAACTCAGACTCACGTGCTTTGTCTGAATAATTGTTGGCAAAAAGAAACTGCATTGATGTCACGCTTCCTGTAGTGTCATTCCCCTGTTGCACTCTCTCCCCCGTTGCGTGACGAGACCAAGCAACGGCCTTTGCGTAGGCTAAGGTAATGGTTACTGCCGTTCCTTCGTCAGCGAATTTGATTGATAGCAAATGTCTCAGCACGTGAGAATTTCGTGGAAAACTGACTAACCGTAGCATTTAGTTCCATGAGAAATTTTTTTAGTGGGGTAGGATTATGTCATAAAATTTAGGCTGTTTACTGGAAAATGGCATGTACTCAGAGAAAATTTCTCAGTTCTTTCGCTTTAGGCTGAGAGTATGTTTTTAACAATTCTGAGGACTGGCTTTAATCCTTTGTACTGGTTAAAATTTATGCGTCGATCAATTCGAAGCCTCAACATCCCCCCTCTGGGCAACCCCCCCCCCCTCAGTCCTTTGAACTTTTGAAGATTGGTTCGTTTTAATTCCGGGCACCCCAAGGGCCAAAATTGCGTCTAAATTCCCCACCCAAGTGCTGGATTTTATGGTCAATTACCCCTCTTCCAAAGAAAAAATGTTTAAATGGTGAGAAAAAGGCATGGTTTATGTCCTTTCGGTTGTAAGCATAATTCTCACATGTTCTACGATGTAAAATTTTATCATACTGTTGTGTTTAGCCACTGAATGCAATACCTTCAAATGAATTACAGCATTTGTACATTCACTATTCAATAGCTGTTCATGCATGCTTTGCGGACAACAACTATGTTGTGAAATTGGCAAGATCAGCGCTGCAACTTTCTACTTATTGACCGCTGACTGAATTAACTATTCAAGCTGTAATACCAAAAAATTACACCACTCAATCGCACACAGACTAGCACAGCGTTTGAAGACCTTTTTTCCCTATTCTTAAACTCTACCATCTCAAAAAAGAGCCTGTGCATACCGCTGGAAGGACTTGACAGTTCCGATTCAATTTCGTACTTCCGGTTCAAATGCCCCACCCCACCCGGGCAAGGTTTAAATTTTCCACCAACGGAAAGGCCTTTTTGATCGAATTCTCCTCCTTCTCGGGCACGGACGTCAGTCAAATGTCCGTGGGTTGTCCGGGAGGGGGGGTTGTTGAAACTTCGAATTGATCGGTGCATTAGCAGTTAATCCGTGATTCTACGCAAGAGATTATTTGTTTATATTATCTTGTTCTAAGATGTGCGCTCTGATTTGATGATGAGTAATCGGGAATGCTCTCTTCACTTTGATGACTATATGAATAGAATCTTTCTCTATATCAATAGATGTTGTTAAGTTTGTGTCGTTTTCCTTAAGGTACTGGGTTTGGATTGACCGATTGAAATTACCCTTTGTTACCCTAGAGAATCTTGCCGATGACTTCTGTAGAAGACTGATGTTACAAGAAGTAGGATTTTTTGCTCGTTTATATGCAACAGGAAATCCCCCGATCTACGTGCTGACTCTTTGCTGCTTCCCACTCCATCTTAAAGAACAAGTGCAAAATCCTCTATCTCCAGATCTTCACCGCATTTGTGCTCAGGGGGGAGGAAACTCGCGGAAGCCACTGTGTAAAGAAGATTGGATGTCTGTGTCTCTTTCCGAAGCATTTACTTTGATGCAAGAAGAAAATCTAGACAATCTTCGTTTATTAATTTTTGCTTATCCTTTTCCCACTGTGTCCGGCAACTTGGAGCAGATGTGTGAGGAGAAACATATTTTTTGCCTGGACAAATAGAAATACCTAGTATTTATATCTTCGTTTAATTTGTTGGTGCCAGGTTTCTCGGAACTGATCCTTATGAAGAAAGTTTGCGTGTATCCATTAGCGACCTTAGTAACCTGCAAGTAGAGTTGTACACGGAGAACCAATCTCATAGGGACAAATTATGCACGCTGAATTTCAATCCGACCCTTCCAGAACAGGTATGTATTATGTGAAGTTGAAAATATTGAACTAGGGGAGGAAATTTTGATTAGGAGCTATTTTGGAAACGTAATTTTGAAGCTCTTTCCTTCGGGCTGAGTAACTCTCAGGATTCACCCGCCCAAAAGATACCTCCATCTGTGCGAAGGTTTTATATCCCTCACGCTGCCGTGCAAAGTGCGTGACAAGGAAGCTTCACAGAAGATTAAGTTAGCTCTTTCAAATAACTCCTTCACTGTACTTCTTTTCTATTTATCATCTTGCATCTATTTGGTACTGGTGAGGTTAAGTTAGACTTAAATTGCTACTGGCAGAGCTAGACTACTCTTTTTGTGGGATATCTAGTCAGACAGTTTGCTGCAGCCTGAGTTTTACGGATTGTTAGTGAAAATAAAATAAAGACACTACCACTTGAGTGATTTTAGGTCCTTATGAAATCACGGGAGTGAATCGCAACAGAAATCGCACTCAAAGTCGCAGCAAAAAATCGTCAATTTTCTAGTGACGAGGCTGGAGAATTGATAGACATAATGTCGGATAAAATATTAAGAAATTAACTTTCTCTGTTGCAGACCTCTTCTCCCAGGTACTTTCCTTCTACAGCACAGGTAGCCATGCCTGAGCAAAAGGAAGATCAGGTGAAATTCGAAGTTCCGTGTTATTTACGTTTCCCTCAGCTTATGTTCGATATCATATTCTATCAGATGTGTCGGCCTCGGAAAAAAGAAAATGATAATAATTGATCATTTGATTTTGATGAAGTCACCAGCTGAAAAAAGCCTCCCACATGTTTAGTAGTTTCTATCAGCGCTTTCCAGTCTTCGTGTTGTCTGATCGTCCGGGTGAGTGTAGTCCTGACGACCCTAGGGACTGTTGTCGGTAGTACTGACTGACGTTTTGACAAACTCAGCACAAGTCATAATCAGACAGTCCAGTGAAGGGCTGTTGCCAGTCGATTGTTTTAAGTCCGGTTTGTGTAGACTGATTGGTCACGAATGCACACCTTGATAGAATCAGTAGGGAACTTTAAGGTGGGTTTTAAGTTAATATAATTTATCGCACGTTTCCATAACCTTGTTATGTTATTTCAGGTTGCGCTGGAATCCAGCACATCTTTCCCCTCACCGAAAGCACTTGAAGAAACAGATTCAAGTATTTCCTCAGAAAAAGTTTTGAATGTTACCATCTTAGCAGACGGGTGGAATTCGCTGAAAGGTGGATTATCGACGTTTAACAGAGAACTTGCCATTCATTTAGCAAGCCGTTCCGACACTCATCTCACTGTCTTTGTTCCTCACGGTGCATGTGAAGAGAAAGAAAAAGCAGCAGCTGCAGAAAAATTTGTTAGTATTATTGAGGCAGAGGAACTCATGACGTGCGATTCCCTCGTAGAATTGTTCTTTCCACCGGACGACCTTGAAATTGATGTAGTAATTGGTCATGGCGTGAAGCTTGGTCAACAGGCTCAGAAGATTAGAAAATCTCATAAGTGCATGTGGGTTCAAGTAGTGCACACTGCTCCGGCTGAACTCGGTATGTACAAGGGCTATTCGAATGCTATCACACAAAGTGGAGTAAAGAACCAGCGTGAGGTTAGTCTTTGCAAAATAGCTGACCTTATCATGGCAGTTGGGCCTAAATTGAAAGGTTTCTACTCCACTCGACTACACTCTTTCAAAAAAGAGCAGGATGTCATGGAATTTACTCCGGGAATTATGAGTGATTTAAATGGTGTGAAGCTGTCGCCAAACGAGAACGATGAGTTTCAGGTCCTGATGTTTGGGCGTGGTGATGACGAAGACTTCGAGCTAAAAGGCTACGATATTGCCGCTCGGGCATTTACAAGTCATGAGCTGAAAAACGACTCCTATCATCTCACTTTCGTTGAAGCGGCCCCAGGAAAAGAAGACGAATTTGCAGATAAGATTCTTCGACATAAAATCTCTAAAAACCAGCTGTCTGTCGAAGAATATATCAAGGATAGAGATGGATTAAAAGAGCTGCTTCTTCGTATGGATCTGGTTATCATGCCTTCAAGAACGGAGGGATTTGGACTCACTGCTCTGGAAGGCTTATCCGCTGGTTTGCCTATCCTTGCTGGCCATAACTCAGGCTTTTCAAAAGCGTTGCAGAAGGTAAAATTTGGAAAACACTATGTAGTTAACTCCGATAAACCCGAAGACTGGTCAAAGGCGATCAAGAAGGTCCGTCAAAAGGAGAGAAAAAAGCGGCTAGACGAGATGCAACAACTGCGGAAATCTTATGGACAGAAGTACAACTGGGCAGAACAATGCGAGATGCTTGTAAGGGAGATGAGGAGAAAAGTTTTTGGTAGGCAGCTTCTCTTTTTTCTTTCCCTTCCTTGCTTTAAAACAATTGAAGCAATGACTCTTTTTGAGTCAGCTTTTTAATTGTTTTTCTCTTTAATTGTCCGTTTTTCTCGTCATTCGTTTATTGATTCATCGATTTGTCTTTTATTTATTCATTCATTTATATACTTACTTATTCATAAATCTGTATTCTTATCTATTCATGCCCAACTCTTTCTCCTTCCTTCTTTCCTTCAATCATGTCTTCCTACCTTTTTATCTCTTTCCTCTTTCCCTTCCGGCTATTCCTTCATCTCTTTACCAATATTTCTACTACTACTAGAAATCAACTTACATTCTATAATATTATAGATTTAAGCGTTTCATTACTCTCGTAGAACTTCAGAACATCGACAATAAACCTACGAAGACACCGTGAGAAGTAAACACTATGGTGATTTAACTCAGGATTTTTTACTACTGAAGAAACTTGACAATTAAAGTCTTTTTAAAATTTTTTATTTCATTGTATTAGCCAGGAAAACATTTACCCAAATTAGGCTTTGTAAGATCACCAGATTAGATGTACATATTTTAGTTTTTATATAAATTTCTCAGTAGTTGTTAAAAGACAAAATTGGCATCTAACAAGAATTTTCCTTATAGGTGTTTTTTGACTTATTTCAACGTGGAAAATGAATGGAAATAATATATTAGCACAAGCCATTCAGTAAAAATTATAATAAGCCAGTCAATCATTTCCTATTTCTTTTGGCGGTCTCATCTTACAGGTATAATTTAGCACGCTCGACACCTCTTTTTCTTAGAGGTGTCTTAAGGTGTAAACATGTAGCACTTTTCATCTTCCGCACTGAATTTATAATCAAGTAATTTATACGAATAGCACGTTGCTCTTTTAGGGCCGGTACCTTGGGTACGCCCTTTCTTCTCCGAATTTTCTGTTTATTCTGTCGTTATGTAACAGTCCTAAAGGGCTATGTTCTCTCAGGATATGTCTCCAACTTTGATTTTACTTCTGTTAGTAAGTTTATTATAATTTTTACATTACCAATCTTGTTTTTCTTTCGCCCGACTTTGACCGTAAGATTAAGAAATTTAAGGTAGAAGGTCATTTTTTAAAGCACAGGCATCGCGAAGGTACCTACTTAGTATGCGAACTCCACTCTGCATAGCTTAGCGAGATTCGCTAGTTAAGTGTAAAAGCATGACGAAGGTTATAGATCGACAGCTCAGTAAGCGTCACCTTTATAAGCGGTGACCCATACTTTCCTTGGTAGATCAGAGCTAGTCTCCGTTGTATTATCTTGCGTAGAAAAAGAGTGAATAAAGAAACGGACAACCGACATGTGTTAGAGTTCTCTTCTAACATAGTGCAGTACTGAAGTTTAATAGTCAATGGTTTCACTCAGAGACCCGAACCAACAGTTCAGAAGAAAGTATGTTACTCATAAACATTAAATGGAAATTGTATTTGTTTTTATTTCCCGTCTTTTTTGACGATAAAGCTGTGCAACTTTATCGTATTTGAGCTAAAAAGTTCTTCTTCACGGAAACGAACTATTCTTTGTACATGGGGATCCGTCACATCTGTGTGGAGAATTGTGACTCAGAGACGCGAAGATGTGGTATAATGTTCGAGTGGTGGAGCAATTTTCAGATAAGTGTCCAGAGTCCTGGAGTTATCGGTCAAAGTGCGCTGTGATTGGCTTAGACAACTCACGGCAACTAATTTCAACCAATAAGATGCAAACCAAAAACCATCGTTACTTAGTCACTGATGTTTTCTGTAAGGAAGTTTTCCTTCGGGTAGTTTGTGTGTTTTTTACTTTTATCTTTTTTAACTTGAAGTTTACGACGGTTTCTTGGGATATCTTTTTTCTGCTTTAATCGACGGTTGTGATTAGACACCCAATCCTTAGTTATATAGTCGTTTTCCAGACCAACGCACTATAGCTGACACTCTAGCGGTGTTTCGGACAACATCTACAGGGATACGCCTCACCAGCCGGGAAAAAGCGCTATCCTCAACAGTATGAGACAATTGTGAAAGATCTATCCACAACATACAGACTTGTATAACAAAAGTAAGACATGCATTCTGTCATTCCGTTGGAAAATATAATCTTTCAAATAAATATACTACCATAAGTTGTTGTTAGTTTTTTTTTCTTTGTTATGTCCAAAATAAAATTTATAAAACCTATTCCATTCTTCAGTCCTCCACCCATAAATTTGTTTACCTTCAGCTATTCCCGTGGAGGCCTCGGAAAGAAACACTCTTAGAAATAAGACCTGTTGTAACTAGAATTGCGTGCATATTCCCCAAATCCCTTGTAGACAGGTAGCAGTTGGTTTTATACAACAAAAATTGTCAGCAATGTGAGAAAGAAACTAGCTCTGTTGTGGACTTTTACGATCGGAACAGACACTGATGATAATATATTTAGTAATGTAATAAATGAAAGCCGGAACAGAAAGGCGAGAGACGAAGTTTGATCGTACTTTTGAGATGCTTCCGTGTTTTAATACGCATGCCAAACCATGACACTTCCCTTGAAAGATGGTCTGTGTGTCAGCCTCAGCCCATGTACCTAGCGGTTATGTGCGCGATTTTAAGCGTCAAGCGGCGGAGCTGCGAAAAACAGGCCGTGAAGCTGCGAGAGGCTTTAAACGAAAAAATAGACGGGGTTTTCCAACCGAAGCTTCCCCTCTCGTCTCTGGTCCTCTGTTGCCTTTATTTCCACTTAGCACCCTTAAAAACTGCTAGCTTTTGAACATGGACGGGACAGGTACAAGCTGCGGCGAGCCACACTCGACTAGCCTTCCAGGGACATATATATCTATGAATTCAGTCTCTGAACCCTACCTTCCGCCCCCTCATCTTGGGAAGTATTAAGCAATGTTTACCTCGCGAATACTTGATTGAGACAAATCACCGAAGGAAATAACCAATCATCCTAAAAGTCAGGCTGCATATGGCCAGCGGTGTAACCCTGAAGGATAAAATTCAACATGGCGCAACACACGCCGCAAAATTGACGTGGTTGCTGCAGTTTTCGGCTGCAGTAAGATCACGGTTTCCTTCAAAGAAATTGCAAGTCGGTTCTGCCAATGTTGATGAGGGAAGTACTGTCGCTGTACAGGCGAATATTTCGAGTAGCAAGGCAGTGGAGAGTTACAACAATCGCAAATACTGAGGCGGAGAGACTGTACATCCAAGATGAAGCGCGAAGCAAGTAAGGATTTCTCGAAGTTTCTGCTGGTATTTTGACCTTATGATATAATTTCCAGTGTTTCGGTGTCTTAGTGAAGAAGTTTTGAGATGAAGTAGTTATAACTTACCGCTTCTTAGACTGAATCAAAGAACATGCTTACAAGAGCACACGTCCGAAGGCCAGGCCTATCGAATCGAAATTTTAATAGTGAAATTACGGGATATATGAAAATGTTTCTTAATTCTGCCTTTTTAAAATATTTCAAATGAAAAGATCATTTCTACTTTAGAGCTTTTTGTCTTTGCCCCTGTCAGTCTATTAGCTTCAATAGCCGCTTCAGTTTGGTTTGAACAATTTCATTTTCAGATGAAGTCTTTGCAATAGACAGAATTTAGAAAATATCTATCTCCATACTGTCTCTTACAAGATTCAGTGCCTGATTATAGATCCCTTTGGTTTGTGCTGTTTGTTGTTTTTGGTTTGTATTACCTCGAGCTACCCAGTGACTGGAAACTGAAAATTATCCTGATATTGCAGATCACCAACACAGAGGAGATGAAACTTTGTCTTCACCAGGCCAATGCGCGAGTAGAGATAGTTATGTAACAAAAAACTCTCATTACTTAGCATGCTCAGGGGCAGATCGCATGTACAACATGTAATCTTGCACAATATCACAGTGGAAAAAGGGAGCAAGGATGTTGTATTAAAAGGAGGGGTGGCCTCCCACTGCTGAGGCCCAGGTTCAATTTCTGGACCTGGTGTCACATGTGAGTGAAGCTTGTTGTTTGTTATGATCCTTGCTCCAAAAGTTTGTCTCCGAATCCTCTGGTTTTCCTCCCTCCACAAATACCAATATTCTAAATTCCGATTCTACCTGGAAACACTGGACAAAGAAAACCACCTTGTGTATAGACTACAAGAAGTCCCTCCTTTCTGGCGAAGTCCGTTATGCGAATAACAAAAATCAGTGAAAAAAGATTGACGTTTGCTCGCTGCGGTAGCTCTAATTTTGACTTCATTGCACGGCCGGAGCTCCATGAGTAAAGTGCTCAAAAAGTAGTAGTCGGCACATCAAAGTCAAAATTAGAGCTCCTTCGGCCGCGCGCTAACGTCAATTTTTTTTTTGCTGATTTTTTTTATTTGCGCAACAGGTAGTCGTCTCTGTTTAAGCAAGATGAACCTCTTAATGCAGTGATAGATTTACCTTGAACAGAATGCAGTGATGAGAATTTGACGTGGAAGTCTTTTTCCTCTTTCTTTTTTGGTTGTGTGTTACGCCTTTCTTCAGTTTAAGATCAGAGGCAAGCTTGACGCCAACAGCCTTGCTGTCATGGATTACTAAATGAAGTTATAGGTGTAATTTCGGTATCCAAAAAGTAGGTTAAGATTCATTTTTGGTATTGGTAATATCAATAGTGAACGTGCACAAATAAGCCGATGAATTTCCAGAACAAATGTGGAAATATTTCCAATAAGTAGTGGCACATTCTCAGAATCAACAACATGAATGGTTATTGCCATCAGAAAAAATTTAAATTTCTAGTATCTCGATATACAGTATTGTTAAGGAACTAGAGCACATGTGTTTTCTAGACGACGAGGGCAGGCGGAAGTTTCCAGTTCTTTTCCCTAACGCTTGTTTAAGAGCTTGGTCTGTACTGTTTAGTTTAAAATGCTATAGCCATGGCTTTCTAGCTTTAACGTTGATATCGAAGCACGTCAGAAGTGTTCGAATTCTCCTTTCAGTCATTCTTCGTGTCAATTAAAAGATCTGCGCTGAAGTTCCATCACTTTTAAGGATAGCATGGAATGTTCTGTAAAGAATCAATTAAAGAAAAGAATAAAGATTTGTTTTTGTAAAATACGTTTAGAGAATATCATTAGCATTTAGACATGTTGCGGATAGCTTTATTTAAGGGACGATCAGGTTAAAAGAGAAAGTCCCCGAATGAAGGCCTTCATTTATTCTTAAGGTGATATTTCTCGAGCGTTTTTTTAGATCACTTTTGAGGTTGGAAATTCTGATCGCGTATGGCGAGTTTTGCCTGTGCGCGCAACCTATGGGACGAGTAAGTCAAGAAGCCGAGCTTGAATAAGCTGCACTGTACAGCGGCCTTAAGTTTGTTTTTAGTTGTAATTGATCCTTTCAGGAAGCCAACAGTAAGCTGAGGAGAGAGTTGGGCCAACATGACGAGATATCCAGGTTAATGGTCAGCACCAAAGACTTAGGTAATGTGACACATTCTGAGCTGGTACAGAAGTTTGGTAAGAGTTACTGTACCCTTGTTCTCGGCCTCTATGAAACACAACGTCGCCGTTGCCTAAAACAGTTACTGTTAAAGTTTTCTTACAATTGGGTGAAAGTCCTATTGAATTAAAAGCAGCTTACACCAAAATAACAGTCTTGAAACTTTTTGTGTTTTACTTGTTGGGCAAAATACATTCCTCTTCTTTCCTTGTAGCCCGTGTCCTTGCACTTGTTCTTGTTCACATGTTAAACCCTGATTTTTATCACAGATCAATGCTGTCATTTTTTGTTTGCATAGAGCAGTCGTGAAAATCAAGACTTCAACACCTTCAGAAGGATCTTATCAAGGTGGCTTTATATTGTCTCTGATTTACTGGTGAGATCCGATAAGTGATTCTCGTGCAGGCCTTCTAGCTATCTCCTTCCTTATCGCCAGCTTGTTCGTTAACGTTTTGAAATTATTAGCAATGACATGTCTAATACTTCTATACACAAAAGGCTACGTTTGAAAGGGTAATCTCACCCAGAATTTGAATCAGATGTACTGACTAAGTTATATATTTACAGAAAAATGAGATGGAGAAGGATTTTTTGAAACTACAAGAAGCTCACGAAGGGCAACAGGCACTTCTGCAAAAGTTGCAGGTGAGCGGGATATGCTATAACAAATAGATGTATAATTTTGTTAGTTCTTGTCGCATTTGAAAAATTAGTGCTGGTAATCTGTGAACATAACTTAATTCAACGTACCGTAACCTAATGGTGTCAACCCTAAATAACGTGCATTTTAAAGAATGCTGTGTTCATTCATAGTCTAGAATTGCCATCGTGATAACTTGCCGTACTTTTCTTGATGATATAGTTTCCACGACCTGAAAAAGGGATGGAAAAGACATATGAAAGAAAAAGTGCTAGAATGTTGCTTGTAAACTTTGTAGTGTGGTGGAATTTCTCCAATTACCGTGGTCAAAAAGTTCTGTCGGTGCAATTGTAGAGTCCAATTTTCTTTTAAACTCCCACAACCACTCCTTTGCTCCACTCATTATTCTGGTATTTAATTCTACTAGTGTCACCGTCTTTTGCTCACACATGTACAAACTCTATGTTTGGGTGGAAAAACTGATCTCGATTTTCTTCGCTGGCAGGGAAAGGTACAAAAGGCACAGACGATTCAAGAGACCTGCAAGAAACAAGAAAAGGTGAAAAACCATCGAGCGAGTTTGTGACACTGAGTTGTGAACCTTCCAGAAAAAAGGCGACAGTTAATGTTTAAATACGCATCCCTTGTAGGTTATTGTACAACTCGAGCAGCTTTCGGCCCAAAAGGGAAAGGGACCATACAATGGAGGTGAGTTACCTTTGAAACGCACCTGTATATCAAGATGAATTACATTTGTTATGAGTTTATTATAAAGAAACTTGTACGAGAATGATTCTTTAAAAAAATACTTGTGTTAGAAGAGCGATTCCAAAGAGGCAAAGTTGTTAGTTTTCAGAGAAACTATTTCGTTGCAACGAAAGGAGTCTCGGTTTCAACTATGCACGCAGAATGATTGTCTTGGGCTGGTTTCATAAAGCGAAACTAAATTGATAGCCGTTGGAGCAGAAGATCACATGCGCTTGGTATCTCATCCACCCCTACCACACCCTTATACCCAACATGATGTTACTCATAAGGCGTAAGGCAAATCATAACTCGTCTTTATTCGACGACCAAGCTCAAAATTTACCATCTTTCTGCATATATTTACCAACTATTATCCCCTACTAGTCTCTACAGAAACTGGCGAATCTTACAGAAAACTCAGTGAAGAGAATATCAGACTACAGGCAGAGGTTCTGCAGTACAAGGTATTCATAAGTTTTATTATAGTTTTTTTTAGTTTGACCTGTTTTGGGGATGCTGAACACGCGGAACTGACACTTTTACCTTGAAAACACGCACACATTTGAAGCAGTGGGATGAAAACAAGGCCTGGATAGTGCCAAATAAACCTCTGAATGTGTTGTGATATATCGAAAATGCCCTGTTTAGTTTGAATAACGCTCATTCTTCTAAAAACTACTTTAAGATATCAGTGCCTCTTCCCAATCCTCTCTCTATTAAACACCCTGTGCGTAATGATCACTCCCCTTCCTTAGGGAGGCGGTCAGTGGACCTCATAGCCAGAAGCGTTCTCGGCAAGGTATGAAGAGTACACAGTCACCAAAGAAATCAATCGGTTGACACTTCTGGCTCTTGGTCAATTAAATTAAGGGAATGTAAATTGCGGATTTTGTCCCATCTCATATTCAAGACAAGGATTGTGCATTTTGCATTTCCCAGGAGCACATCAAAATGAATCAGTTTATTAAATCCCACTAGGCCCATTGTCAAACTCAATCTATTTCCTGTCAATATATATTACATCCTACTGATCAAATAAACATGGTTTGTGTCCACTGACTTTTTCGGTGGAAAGAAAGCTACTGGATAATTTGTTTTTCTCTCGTAATCAGGAGCAGTTGAAAGCAGCCGAAGCCAAGCTGAAGAAACCAAGGTATGTACATTTAATTTTTCAGTACACATGCACTTTCAGCCATCTTACATCGTTCGGTGATAATCGGCCTCTATCCAGTTTTGAGAAATTGTCAGTGTGAGGTTGCCAGTCGGATTGCGGCTTCAGCTAGAGATAACGTTTTGGACCCTACTTCTAGTCTTCTGGATTCGCCGACGAAAACGGCTCTTTCGTCCTTTGGGATCGTTTGTTTTTAACCTTATGAGAGTCAAAGCGATTAGAAACGGAATAAATGTCTGGGAGACTGTCACGAATTTACCATGGGAACTGAACCTTTCATGAAACTACCAGTTGAGGAGGATACGTAATGGTGACTGACTACTTGTCTGGTTTTGTTTCAGATCACCAGGAGAACAGCAAGTGGTTGGTACAAGTGTAAGTGCGTCACTCTTGAATCAAACGCATTTTATTACTAGTTAACTGGCTTCTCAATCAGGGAAGTATTCATTTTAACACAAAGCTTTTACTGAGAGAGCCACGTTATAGATGTGGTTTCCAAACGTTTCGGCTGCTCATCAATTAGTGGAAAAAACTAGTTCTTTGTGAGTGGCGTAAAGTTTCAACTGAAAATTTACAGTGGGCCCTTGGCTAAAGATGACTTTTAAGTAAGTCCAAGGTTAATACGTTGTAATTTTGCCTTGAAGATCGAGAAATCTTCCTAGCCATATACGTAGGGGTAAAAAAGGCAGATGGATGACGATTTTTGAGAGTGGAAATCTCGATCAGTCCATGGACTTCCCATTTTGTTCATAGGACAGTAATGATTACAGTAGTATAAACACTTTTAGGTAAAGAGGTGTAAGATGAGATCCACTTATTTTTTTCATTCCAAAGGTTTTATTTTCGCCGTTGACAGAGTTCAAATGTTTTTAAAACATGGCGAGACTTGCATTGCGCAAAAGTCTAATTGAATTGTCTGTTTGCAGAATGGACCGATGTCAGACATGGAACGACTGGAACTTTTTGAAAAACTAGAGAAAGCGGAGGGACGGATTGTTGCTCTTGAAAAACAGGTGAAGCACTCAGCTGCATTGCTTCAATTTTTGGAAGTGTGGAGGTTTGCTTTGTGTGACATGTCATAAAGTGGGTGGGAAGACAAGAAAACTGTCTGATAGACAAATGATTAAAGGGGGTCAGTTTCTAAAGAAACTGTGGTGCTGCGTCGGTGGGAGAGTATAGCAGGTAATTTAGTGTCAAAAACTAAGTTGAAAACGTAAATTGGCCACCGTAAAGATTTAAAAGGCCGCTGACGTTTCGAGCGTTTCTTGTCGCTCTGACGAAGGGCTAACGCTCGAAACGTCAGCCTTTTAACTCTTTACGGTGGCCAATTTACGTTTTCAACTCAATTGTGAACACTAAATTGTCTGTTAGACAGTCAGTCACGTTGGATGGCTGATTGTCGGGCGGTAGGCCGTCAGACAGACAGACAGACAGGCAGACAGACGAACAGGCAGGCGGGCAAGCAGACAGACACTTTCACAAAAAAAATATATGGTTAAAAAAACTGAAAAAACAGCGCAGAGGTGTAATAAACTTAGCTCTAATATAGTTTTCTCGGTTTCCTTGCATTGTCTCTGTAGTTGGCAGATAACGTCAGAAAATGGGCGAAGGATAAAGCCGACTTTCAGGTGACTATTTTTCTTTTTTAGGAGTGATAGTGTTGGCACATTTTTTTTTTTCGGTCCAAAAATTCTTTTGGTTCACTAAGTCCTAGTTCTCTATATCTATCAACATTTTCAGTTACCTATCTATTTTCTTTATATATATATATATTGCGTATATTGTTTTAAAATTACTATGGATAGTATCAGTTTTGCCGATGTTCCTTCCAAAATGGAAAGGAGAAGCCAGTGATGATGTGTTGTTTGAGTAGCTTTGTGTTTCATTTACGCAGATGAAATTAAACGAAAGTCAAGTCGCTCAGAGGACAGGATACAAAAATTCGTCCACTTCTGTAGATATTCTGGACTGGGTTTGTATTAGTTTCTTTCTTCTTTTTCTCCTGGTAACTTTTGTAAGACTTCATAGTAAGTGGTTGCAGATATAAGAGGAAAACTTGTGTCTGAACGCTGCCTCAGTTTTGTAGTGAGTGACCGGGATATTGCTAGTATCTCACATACTTCATCCTCTTGGTCCCAGCCGGGACACGAGAGCCCACTTTCTATCCTGTCCTTTGTTCTGTCTTAACTAAGTGGCAATACAAAAGAAATTTGTTTCCTTGAAGATCGGCTCGCTCTGTTGATCGATAAATAAATTTCTTGTTGTAAACCAAGAGGCGATTACCTCATGCATTTTTTTGTTTAGTTAGTCTGGCTGTTTGGGTAAACAAAACGTATAGAAGTGTATGAAAAGAGTTATGAAAAGCCAGTGCCGAGATCCTGTGATGAGAACGTTACCTTTCTATATAGTATTAAGTCTTAAACATTTAAGTCGAAAACCTTACGTTATGAAATCCAGACCTTTAGGACCAACTGTAAATCCACCCCGATGTTTAGAGTTTTTATTATTCCACAGCATAATGGACCAAAGCCAAATTCACCTTCAAGACATTTGGGTCCGCGACGACCGTCACCTAAACTGGATCCTTTGGAGAGAAGATAGCATTTAGAACTTCGAAAGTCTTAGTGGATGATTTCATGATCAGAGGACACTGGGCTCCAGCTAGGCAACAATTATCCCGAACGCATCGATCCTTTCTCTCTAGTCAAGATCTGAATATTAATTTTCCTGACTAAACCATGCATTCTTTGTCGAGTATTCCTCGAAATTTGTTTTTATGTCTGGATAGTAATCCCCGACTTGATTTGAGGGCTTTTCAATTGAGTGTCGTATATCAAAAACCAAAGCAAGAAGAACTATCAATCAGAATCAAAGAAACTATCGCAAAGAGGAGCCAATGAGTGCTCGAGGCAAAAACAAGCAAACTGCCCGAAGAGCGGGAAAACGCAAGTCACCAAGTTGAGATTGGTGTTAGTTTTGCATCTGATTGGTTGAGAGAATGGCGCGAGTGAGCTTGACCAATCACAGAGCGACAGAAGTCGACTTTTGTGCAAGTTCATAAATAAAAGGTTTCTGAACACGATGAAAGAAAACGCCGAGGAGAGAATAACGATCGACGAAATGGTTCTTTCAGGGAACTATGTTCGACGTTGAGCATATCCGATATTTGAAAGGCGACCTTGGATCTTCAGATAGTTAGACTATGAGAGGATGTGCAAACTTATGTAACATTTTAATGCTGGGAAGAGAGATTGATCTTTCACTTGCTATGAAAAGAAGGGCATAAATACACCTGTGCGAACATTGAAACGGTCTCAAGGCGGGCCGATATCTCGCTTTTAGGCCAATCTCTTTTGAACCGCTGAGCAGATCATAGGTTACATTTGTAGGCACGGCCTCCTTTTTCATGGCGTCTTGACAAGTGGAGGGGGACAGTGGGGCGGGAGCCCGGGAGAACAGTGGGCGGGAGAGGGCGGAAAGCGGGAGCAGAAATAAAGAAAGCAATAATGTGTTGTTCATTACTGAGTACCGTTCAGTCAAAAACACTTATATAGCAAAGTTTTGAAATTTCCATTTCACATCCACCAATGCTTAAAAGAAAATTTTGGAAGCAAGGAAATGTAAGTTGGCTGGAAAAACAGCATTACTTCCGGTAAATTTGGAAATCTATTCAATTTGATTACGTCATAGGTCATGAGATAGCATGACACGTGACACCTGTACACTTATACTTCAGTGTTAGTGTCTGGTAAGCTGTAACTGTCGAAAATATCCAGCAAAGAAAGCGATTCAGGGTCATTCAGGTCAAATGTCGTCAAAGTCTATTTTAATCGGCTTTAGTATTTTTCAGTGTGGAAACGAAATATCCGTGCATGGAAGACCTTCTTGGGAGCTTGCTCCGTACGACTGCACATTCCAAATTACTGAAGATTTTCCCTCATGGTGCAAACTTGTTTCAAAGGAATGCCGCTTCAGTGAGCGCGCCGGAGAGTGCGGAGTGGTTCTCTTTTCAACGCAATTTTTTTGAAAGTTAACCCGGGTTTCTGATCCTCTCGATTAACTTGAAGACGGGAGCAACACAATGAAGGGTCGGAGTCGGGAGGCAAAGGGGCACAAAAGTACGGGAGGTAAGAGACTCTGACCTCCCATATCTTCTTTCTCCCCCCCCCCCCCCACACAAAGCTGAATAAGGAAATGCAGCGTCACAGCTAAGTGGTCAATGACGCGGGCTCAAGCCCTTGAGGTTAAAAATTCAGCGAAATTTGAGGAGAACTATAGGTCTAGTATTTAAAACCAAGGTATTCTGTCGTAGTTGAAGGCATTTTCCTATTTCCGGTGTTTTTATGGAGAAAATTAATTTTTAAAAATATTTAGGGGGTGTACAAAGTTTTCAGAGGTTGTTCTCGAAAAGAAAAGCGAAAGGGAAACAACGCCCAGAAGCAACAGATAGAAAATCGAACGTGCAAACAACTCAAAATCCGTCAGTCCTCTTTTCCGCGCCAAAGCTTGACGCATGCGCAAATAATATTCAGCTCTGTCGGGCGATACTTGCTCTTTCTGAGTATAAACAAATGCAATAAAGTACGCAAGATGGCGTTAGACGTGGATAGTCCTTTGGAATCTCCGCCGATTGCGGTATTTAGGGGATTGAGATTTATCTATTGGTGAAGGAAAACGTAGCAATAATAACCATGGCGTCTTCCAAAGCATCGAATGCCGGAAGTAGCTACCAGGAGCAGAGAGAGCAGAAGGTTCTTGATGTCATATTTCTCTGTGACGAATGGAAATCTTCAAAGGGTGGATTGTCAACTTTCAATCGAGAATTTGCCATTAATTTGGCACAAGCGACGACTGGTAGCATGAAAATTCACTGCTATGTCTCTAATAGCGATGATCGGGACAGAGAAGATGCTAAACAACATGGTGTCAATTTAATCACAGCTCGAAGTGTTCCTGGTTCAGCGGACCCCCTCGAGTGCTTGAAGTTTCCACCCTCGCAGCTCCCAAACCCACATCTGGTGATAGGCCATGGAAGAAAGCTGGGTATTCCTGCAAATTTCCTAGCCCAGTCTACAAAGTGTAAATGGGTCCAATTTGTTCACGTCTACTGCGAGGATCTTGGGAAATATAAAGAATCTGCCACGGCTGCAGAAGATACAATCGAAGAGAACGAGAGGAAGCACAAGTTGGAAATTGAGTTGTGTAAAGCAGCGGATGCAGTTGTTGCCGTTGGCTCCCGTCTACAACAGAAGTACAGCAGACGTCTCCTTAATGTTGAAGTGAAGATTATCACTCCTGGGATCTTTGGAAAGTTTTCCAATGAATCAAAATTGGCTGTAGACAGATCGGTAGTAAAGAATTTTAATGTGTCTTTGTTTGGCCGAGCTGCCTTTGAGGATCTTTCCCTGAAAGGCTATGATGTAGTTGCAAATGCCATTGGTTCTCTTGGTGAGAACTTTGAGTTGACATTTGTCGGCTCATCTCCCGGTGAACAACGAAAAGTTGAGCAATGGTTTCTTGACAACACGAGCATCAACCGCAATCAACTAACCATCCGTCGATATTGCAGTGAACAAGAGGAACTCAAGGTGATGTTCTATCAGTCAGATTTGGTTGCTCTGCCATCCCGTACCGAAGGATTTGGGCTTGTTGCCCTCGAGGCCATTTCTGCTGGTGTTCCTGTACTCGTCTCTGGTGAATCTGGCATAGCTGAGGCTTTGCAAAAAGTAGAAGGTGGAAACACTGTCATTGTTGGATCAGATGAAGATGAAGATGAATGGGCGCGAAGGATCAGAGAGATATATGAAGAAAGCGCAGAGGAGAGAGAAGCCAATGCTGTGAAGCTTCGCGAGAACTACAGGAAGGTTTACTCTTGGAAAGCAGAATGTGAGAGGTTTAAAGGGCTGATTGAAAATGTTGTGAAAACTACATATGGTGAGCTTACTTCTTTTAATTTTTCTTTTTGTTCATTACATTTGCTAAAATGTTATGCTACATGTAAGAAGCTAAGCCCTATGAGTAGACCAAGCCACAGAAGATAAACGGAATACTGGTACAGGTAGATAAGCAGAAGAACAAGTTAAGTGCACCTTTAGTCCTGAGTTGTTACATTTATCCAGACTTGTGGTTGGACTACAAGTGTTCAAGAGCATTGTTTTCTTGAGTTTTTTTTATATAAAAAAATAACTGCCACGTAAGAGTATGTATCTCACACCAATCAGAGTGCTGCATGAGGTTATTTATCTTGCACTAATCAGATTCTTGAATAAGGGTATATATCTTGCACCAACGATATCACAGTATTTGGATATCTTGCACCAATTACAGTGTTCGGGTATTATTTTCTTGCAAATGATGTCATGGAATCAGGGAGCTGTGCACAAAGAACGGCATTAACCATTTTGGGCTCATTTGACAAGTGTCATGATTTGTGGCCTTTGCGAGTGCCTTGTAGATTAAGGTTGAGATTTATCAGGATATGAAAAGTTCACATTTAACTTTTTGTATCATTTTAAAGTTAAAAAATCCTATGTTTCACCTTAGCTTAGTCTGTTTAGATATTTCCATGTTTGAAACTGTAATATTTTAGATCAATCAGAATTTTGATTCTATTATGGAATGAAATGAAGATGTAAAAGAAACTGAAACTGAAGCAATATATATACTGTATGTTGTAATATGTGGTAATTGTTTTCACTCCATTAAAATGTTGTTGGTATCTAACCACTGGTAGCAAGCTCTGTGTTTGATTGGTGTTCCCTCATCATAATGTTCTTGTATTTTAACGGTTAAATAGGTAAGAGGTCAAAAAATCTTGTTATATTAGGATTAAATTTGACTGTTACAATTTAACAGGTGGTGAGTTGAATGTCAAGGTTGCAGTGGATCACTTCAAATCTGAAGAACAGAATATGCAGACTGGCATGTTGGCAACAGAATCTGTCAGATGTCGAGAGGTTCAGCAGTCTGGGGCATCTGCTACATCAGCTGCATCTGGAAGTGTGTCCTATCCACAGACAGAAGATCTCAAGGCTGGTAAAGAGAGAGACTTTCAATTAATTTTTCGTGATTGTTACCACAGCACAAAGCCACAGTCCATTGAAGAATGGAATTGGTTTAAGGAATACTTAAAAGAAATGAAGGTCATAATTGTTGGTGCCACTGATGGAAGTGTAGTGATAAAAGTGAAGTGTGAATCTCTAATGATCTTGGAGAAGTTTTGGGCAGAGTACTCATCTGGTCATCTTGGTGAAGTGGTTCAGAATTGTTTTGTAACTGAGAAGATCTTGAAGGTACTGAACCTGGCTGAGCTGAGGCTGAAGACAACAATGGAAATAGAAGAGTACAATGCGTGCAAAATGTTCTTTGAGAAAGATGCACTTAGAGGTTGGTAGAAAGAATGTAACAAGGCCTGGTCCTATCATAAAATATTTTTTAAGGTTCTTCATGTTGGTTGAGTTTTTTCCCTTTATTATTGAGAGAAAACCCACTTTTAATTTGATTCAGTTGATACACTCTTTTAACTGGTATCATAAAATGATGTCATAAAAAATATGGTCCTATCATAAAACATATGGTCCTGTCATAAAATATTTGCAAAGGGTTTTGAACGAAATCCATCAGTCTTTTCACATGAAGTATGGCAAGGTACATGTCATGAAGGGATGGTTCCAGTTTTTTTATCAGGTGGAGGGAAGTTGTCTTGTTAGTAAACTCATGCTGACTACAGTATATAAACCATGCCAATGAAAGAAATTATTTGTTTGCAAGGCATTTCATTTGATGTTTTGTTCTTCTTAAACATCTCTTCGCATTAACCTGTTATCTTTCTACTAAGACATCTGGCTCAATATTTTCCTCTCTACAGAGTTGTATTTGTCTTTCCTTAGTCTATTAAATTATGTACATTAATCAAAGATTGATTGGCAAGACTTTTGTTGGAGGGTCTATGAAAGAAAATTTGGTAAGTTTTTGTATCTTGGGTGTTTTTGAAAATAGTTTGAGGCATGGTTATGGTTTAAAATGTTTGTCTTCTTGTAAATCTGATTTTAGGTGCTTTATCCTCTGAATTCCACTCCACAAGTTCAACCAGTGAAAGTCCACAAAAAAAAGAACAATGGGAAAAAAGTGAACAGAAGACAACGATTGTTGAGACAGAGAAACTGAAAGGTAAAAACAAAATTAAAAGACATATTAAGTTATTATGGAAAGTTGTTGTGAGCAGTCATAACAATGTATTATTTGAAAAAACTTTGAAGGATTATCTCAATACAATAATGTGGAATTAGTTTTATTTAAAAGACTACAACTTAAGGGAAACAACAAACAGAGTATCTGAAGAGAGGCTGTGAATGCTAATCTCTCCCTGTACTTTTTGCTCTTGGGTTCTTCACCCCTCACTGTAATACCCAGCACTGGTCACGAAATAGAACTTATAGAGAAAGGGCAGGGAAGATAAGAAAGGTGAAGAGGAAGTGAATATGTTCAGTGTGTTCAGCTATGATGTCAAGTGTAAAGAAGTGAGCTTTTGGGATTAAACATTTAAGGTTGCTAGGGTCTGTAGGGTAAAACTAAACTGACAATTATTTGAAATACTTTCAGTTCTCATTAAAAAGATTGATTTGAAAGAAATTGACCCTCTACACCCTAACATCAGTATTCATATTCTCCATACTGTTCTCAGTATATTAACTAAAGTGCTGACAAGGAGAATTTGTCTAACAATCAAGAGTTTTTCTTTAGTTGGTGATCATTTCCTTTATTCTCATGACATTAATGTGTGATTCAGTGGTGATATTGTAAGGAGAAATTAGATGCCAGTCACTCCAAGGGGTTAAAGGGTTAAAACCCAATTTAGTGTTCCCTCAGGGAATGTTAGGATGGTAATGGCTGGGGATGGTGAAACAATATTAATAATTACAAGTATAATCATCCATGGTGTAGTTGAGAGAAGATTGTCACAGTCACAGATTTTCAAAGGCATCCAAGACAAAAATACAGCAGTGCCCAAAGAGTTTTTGATGGTTTTCAGAGATAAATGATGGATTATAAAAGGGAATTAAAATTGGTATTGTAGCTTTCTGGCAAGGGGAGATATTTGACCTCAAAGTCATCAAATGTTTGGATGAATCGAAAAGTCTTAAAACACGGTCATTTATTTGCCGCTGTTGATTGACAAGCCATTAATCAAATTCACTGCTACTTGAGTTGTACATTAATTAATGATGTAACAATATGTATGTGAAGCCTCAGAGTAATCAGTTAAATACCACTGAAACAGTTTGCTCACTGAGTTTTGAGTAGACCCTTTAAACTGGCAAAATTTCACTGAAATCTGTGAGATTGCAGTAGCATGACTGCCTGGTGCTCTCATGGACATGCTCCTTTTTTTCCATCATTTAAAATGTAGAATTTCTCCAATCTCTCCTTCAATTTAAAGGAATATTAAGGTGGCTTTTGTGAGGGCTGATGGAATAGGTGCATTTAAGTTTGACATGAAGAAGAAACTGAATGCTAAATTTGCTCTACACTTTTGGCCTTAGGTACTTCACCCCCATCTTATATGTTCATTACTGGCCGTGAAAAAGAACAAGAAGAACTAACTAAAGCTATGAGACTTCAGGAAAGAAAAGGTAAAGTGAAAAAAGAATCTGGAACTCAGATTTATTCAAATCTAATTTGAAATACTAAATTTCTATATTGGTAGATGTTGTGAATATTTGAAACATTTACAAACATTTAAGCCCAAGGAACTTGCTTGAGATAAATCTATACTTCAACTTGTAAATTTTTATTATTTTTACAATGTATGATAAACTTAAAACTAAATACAACTGCCTAGCTGCCCTTTACTTCATGTAATATTCTGGAAGAGCACTAATAGGCCTGCAACTGGAATATGTTTGACAGAGGTCTTATCAGAGCAAAATGAGGAAGGGCTAATGCTCAAAATGTCATCTTAGAAACTCTTTATGGTGGCTAATTTACATTATAAACTCAGTTGATAAAACCAAATTACACGAGTCACTGATGATTTTTGCTTTATAGTTTGCTGGGAACATTTATCAATCCTCTCACCCTCATCTTGCATTTGAAACAAAAAAAGTGAGACATTTTCAAAATTCTTGTGGCAATAATTTAATTAATTTGGTATTCTGTATATGCAAGACTCACATCAACTTTGCAACTCTGCCAGGAAGATGTAGCAGATAGAGAGATAACTCATCAAAGTGTTGAGTTGACTTTTGATACAGCTTCTTTCATGTTAACACCAGAGTCAGCAGGATTCCAAAAGGATCCACACCAGAAGGCTTATGTTGCATCTGCTACTGTGGGAAGCTTAGTTCATACGGGAACTAAAGATTTCCAAATCCTATCCTTTATACAACAGTCTGCAGAAGATCGCAATGAGTTTCAGGAATACTTGGAAAAGCTTGCAACAGATGTTCCAGTTGAAGGTTGTTTGGTGATTTCAGTGGGGTGTGATTCTCTTGAAAACCTGGAGGGAGTTGGTAGAAGTTTACTGATATGGCATTCTTGATAAACTGGTTGAAGAATATTCTCTCCCTGTAAAAGAAGCTGTTTATATTTAGATATGCATGTAGAACTCTTTTCAATAATGTTCATAAGTGATACATGGGAGAGTTAATGGGAACAGAGTATTATACCTAAACATGACCATGATACATGCTAGAATGCTCATTCCTAACCTTTCACCCAGTATAAAAACATGCTAAATGCTAATTTCTCTCTTTCTGCCTTTGTGCTAAGACATCTTGTGTCTCCTTGTATACTGCACCACTCCTTCAGCTTAAGAACAAGAACCTTGTGGGAAATCTCAGAGATTAGAAGGCAAATTAAAAATGAATTTACATTTAATGAATTTTTTTGGGTGAAATTAGATTAGCTGTTACATGCCTTCATTTTTCCCATCATTTCTAATATAGAATTTTCTCCAATCTCTCCTTCAGTTTAAAGGAATATTAAGTTGGTTGTTGTGAGGGTTGATGGAATAGGTACATTTGAGTTTGACATGAGGAAGACACTGAATGCTAATTTTGCTCTACACTTTTGGTCTTCTTAGGTACTTCACCCCCATCTGACATGTTCACCACTGGTCGTGAAAAAGAACAAAAAGAACTACCTAAAGCTATGAGACTTCAGGAAAGAAAAGGTAAAGTGAAAAAGGATCTGGAACTCAGATTTAGTCAAATCTGATATGAGATACTAAATTTATATACTCTGGTAGATGTTGTAAATATTTGAAACATTTGAGCCCAAGGAACTTTCTTGAGATAAATCTATACCACAACTTGTAGTTTTTTATTATTTTAACACTGGCTGGTAAACTTGTTCTTCTGTCATGGGATTAAATACAACTGCATAGATGCCCTTTAGTGCATGTAATATTCTAGAAGAGCACCAGTGGCTGGATTGTTGGCAGGGTTGGCGACTGTATTGTTGGCAGGGTTTTCTTCAAGAGAGCAGAAAAGTAGATTCTTTTTATAGGTTATCTTCATTTGTTGATGTGTGATTGACTCCCAATGGCTTCTTGTGATGTTTTCCTCATTCCAAATGGGTTACTGTTTTTACCTGGGTTTCGCTTTCTGTTGTGCAACTCAATTTAAAGAGAACTATCATATGTTTCATCTGATACAGTGACTTCACCTTAAGTCACGAAACTTGAGATGATAGTCTTTACTTTGACTGCTTCATTTTTTTATTTATTATTTTTATTTTTTTCATGTTCTCTTCCTCTGGAAATTAAAAAGAGTTTTCTACAAGGAATAACAAGATCAGTGTTAGTAAGTAAGTGTACTTGAAAAGTGGAGTACAGTTATTAAAATTTTTGCCTTCTGATTGACTGAACATAAACATGTAACCTCAAGCTCCAATCTCATTGCCTGGCTTCAACAAATATGTTCCATGAATTTTTTAGCAAAGTGAAAAAGAAATATCTGTGAGTAAGCCATGTAGCAATGTTGGAAAAGAGCAGATTTCTTTTTGTGTGAATTTTTAACAAAACAATTATTCTACTCAGGTTTGCTGAATATGAGATTACATTACCAACTTTGGACTGTTGACCTTGTTGGTTATTTATCATCTCGTATTTGGCACGCTTCAGTAGAATAATAGTTAATTGGTGCTTTAGTTCAACATCAAATTTGGAGTCCCAGGGTAAATAATTGAATTATGCATCATGTGACGGAAGAAAATTTGCTGGAAATGTTTGCATTGAACAGCATGCATAGAGAGTGATTATTTGATCATTAATATTATTGTTATTTATATTACTGTTTTTGTTGATGATAATGCCCTTTGTTTCGTCGAAAAGAAGACTAAAGAGCCAATACGGAGGAAGAACCGTATTTGATTTAATAACACAATTCGATCTAAAATACAAAGAAACCACGTGGGTACTCAGCCTTACAAGCGTTCAAAACAAACAGAAAATTAATTGTGATAACCTGGAAATCAACTGAAAACTTACTTCTTGGCTGCCTCCGTACTTGTGGCAAATAGTTACGGAGGCTGAAGCTGAACTGAACAACTGAAACCTAGATTACGCATCTTAAATTAAACGTTTTACGCGAGAAACATTGCGATAATTATTGCGGTATATGAATTCAAACGGAGCGCGCGCGGAACGGTAAACGTAAATAGCGCGCGCGTTAAACAATTAATTATAATGAAAAGAATGTTCAGTGAAACACCCTTCCTTGTTCCTCTTCTTTTTTTATTTGATTTCACGTCTCTCATTTTACAGAAGCGAGATTACCGAAGAAGGAGGGGCACTAATGGTCCAAAACGTCCCATCGCGTGTACTGATCCCTCCTAAAGCTCTGCCAACATGTACCGAGGTCACATGTTCTTTATGGAATCAGCAGATTCTATCACCACCCCTTGGAAGAAATGAGGCCTTAGTGAGCAGTGTGATGGAACTAGTCTGTGGAAACCTTCCTGGTACAGAGGAACGTTACGAGTTCAATGTGAAAGTGAAGGTGGCTTTATCCCACAGTGCTAGTGACATTAAAGGATACGAATTGGTGATCAAAGAATTGATCAATGAGAAGACCAATGATTGGAGGGACTTGAAAACCAGATGGGCTTGGACGCCATCAGGTAGTAGCTATGTTGGTAATTTACAGGGTACAGCCATCCTTCCTTAGACAACTTGACCTCTTTCCTTACACGAAACCACAAACAAATTGACTGTATAAGAGGATGCATAGGCTTTCTATTTCTTTCTTATAGACTTGGTTTGTAATTGAAGTTGGTCCTTTTAATGTTCATCTTTATCTTGTGTGATTGTCCTACTGCCACTTCAGTTGTTTTACTTCTTCCAGTATTACAATCATACTTGTCAGAAACAAATTTAAAGAACTGTTTGTAAAAATATGAAGCTGAATCAACAAAGATATAGGATTGAAAATAGAGGGTTTTTTAAGTCAACAACACCTTCTGCCTCATTACAGATATCAAAGATGAGCATTCTGGCGTGGATGAATTCCCAGACTGGTTATTTCCGTTTGCAGAGGCAGAAATTACGAGTTTTTCTTCATTTGCGGTGGTCTGGCGTCTCAAGTCTTTCACGTTTAAAAACCCTTCGACTTTGTCATCTTCCTTTCCCTGCATTCTGTCAGACCATCCAGGAGTGAGTGTAACATTCCCTGAGAGTTCTCTCCCAACAGGACAAACCTTTGCTCTTACTGTACAGGTACCTATACATCCTTTCCACCAGAATATATCCTAATAGTTTACATATTAACATTACGTTTTTGCTGTTAAAGACAATATTTTTGAACACGAAGGTAGACTTATCAGCCTATGTTTTTTTTTTTTTTTTTTTTTTTTTTAATTGCAACACGAAAAACACTACTTTTTACAAAACAAGACGAACACTACTTACAATACCACCTACAAGACGTTACTTATTCTACTTACTATATTATACTTCCTTAGACTGCAATTCTTACCCTACTTTTTACAGTTTTTTTTTTTTTCGCTTACACACCTATGTATCTATTAAATTATAATTCAAAATGGGTTTCCATTTAGCCTCTAGCATCTTCTTATCATTAAACTTAGCCGCAATGTGACATTCAGTTTCATATTTTCTTTTAACTAGTTCCTTATACGAAGGAAAAAAGGAAGACTATTATTCCTACGGCAATTCCATAAATGTAGCTTACCTAAAACGATTAAGTAATTAAATAAAGAACAATTAGTATCTGTGACACCAATTAAAATAGTCTTTAACTCAAGTTTCCTTTGTTCTTTGGCTATAGCGATCCAATAAGATTCAAATTCTTCCCAAAATGCATGTGAGTAAACACAGTAAAAGAATAAGTGATCAATTGTTTCCGCACTAGTATTGCAAAAAGTGCAAAGATCGCTTTGTATTAAACCTATCTTAGCTAAGCGGGAATTTGTGAATAAAATGTCATTTAGTATTTTAAATTGAAAGCATTGCACATATGTCTCGCAGATACAGGACCTTATTAATGAGAAGGCCTTTTTGTTTCCACATCATCAATAGAAAATTTAGATTTCAACTTTGTGAAGCCTCTGGACTCTGTCGCCTTACTGGATATAAGCAAACCGTAGAAATCCCTAGACTTGCTAAGTGCTGGATCAAAGATTTTATCACCGATTTTAAATTGCAGTGATCTGACATGATCTTTCTTAATTTCGTGGCATCGAATTCTTAGATGACTTGGTACTGCGCAACGAACACCAGTCCAGGTCAGAAAGTTGGAATCTTTTAAACCATTACGTTTTGCAAGGTTAAAGGACTCTGTGTTACTCAAATCAAATTTTAAGTCGCTTAAAAGAATAATATTTGCGCTATTATAATTATAATAGAATAAAGGTTTGCCGTTTACTCTAATGTTATGATTGTTCCAGATGATTGTTTCACGTAGACTTACAAGATCAAATTTAGAACGAAAATCTGACCACCAGTGTAACATCTCCTTATAAAATATTGGGGAAATGTTATAGTCATTAATATTATAATCACAATGAAGAAAAAATTCTCCACCAAAAGGTTTTAGTAAATGTAATAGATACGCTTTCCAGGGATAAAAATTATCGCTTAGAAATCTTCCAATCCATGAAAGTCGGAGTGACATAATTGACGTTGTAAAATCAGTTACCTTTAGGCCACCAAATTCAACATCATTTATTACTGCTGTCCTGGCGATTTTATCAGGACCCTTCCAAAGAAAATTATATATTATTGATTGAAGGGCCTTTATGAACTCCAAAGGAGAAGGAAGAATTGACGAGATGTATAAAACTTTAGGAAGTAGTAAACTCTTAATAATTGTAACTTTACCAAACAGAGAGAGGCCTCTCCAACTCCACAAGCGTATCTGAGATTTAATTCCTTTGAGCTTATCGTAGAAATTCTTTTGCACTGATTCTTCGTTATTGTAACTAAAGTGAACCCCTAAAGCTTTTTACAGTTTTACGCCATTTCAATGCTAGAGGTGTTTCGATGTTATTACGGGAAGAGCCAATCCACATTGCTTCGGTTTTTTTGTATAATTCACCTTTAGGCCAGAACATTTTTGGAATTGATCAAGTAACTTAAAAAGGTATTGAGCAGATCTGATATCCGACACAAAAGCTGTTAAATCATCTGCATACTGTGCCATTTTGAATTCTTTTTCATCTATTTTGATTCCATCTATTTCTGAACATGAGCGAATAGCGACTGCTAGTAGTTCCATAGCAATGATAAACAAGTAAGGAGAAAGGGGGTCTCCCTGCCTTACACCTCGATTTATTTCAAAGCTAGCTGAGAGCGTTCCATTGTTGATAATACAACTTGTTATGTTACTGTAAAAGGTTTCTATCCATCTTGTAAGACTGGATCCAAATCCAAAGACTTCTAAGCATTTGAACATAAAATTCCACTCCAGACTATCAAAAGCTTTCTCAAAATCTATAAAAAGTAGCAATCCAGGGATTTCATAAGTTTTCGTGTAATCCATTATATCTAGAATTGATCTTGCGGCTTCCCCTATGTAGCGACCTGAAACGTACCCAGTTTGATTGCTATGAATGATTTCGGGTAAAACTTTGACAATACGGGTCGCTATAACTTTGGACGCAATTTTGGCGTCGACGTTAGTCAAGGATATTGGCCTCCAATTTTCTAAGTAAGTCCTATCCTTGTCCTGTTTCTCAATAAGAGTAATCACTGCCTGTCTCTGAGATGGGGACATTTCCTTCTTCATAAAAGCTTCATTAAATGAATTAATCAAAGTATCACTAAGTAATGGCCAGAAGGTGTTATAAAATTCAATGGGTAACCCGTCGTTGCCTGGCGTTTTTGCAGTTGGAAAAGTTTTGAGAACGTCAGCCTATGATTCGATAAGCACTCTCTTACCTTCAGTCAGCGACTTCTGTGAGAGATGATTGTGTATTCAGTTTGCTTTAACGACTCTTTATTAAGTTGGTGCGGCTTTAGGTTTTCATTAGTACACATAGTACAGTTTCATCTTTCTTTGAAGGTGCAAGAGGTTCCGTGCAGTAATGCTAAACTGAAAGAACCACCAGTTGTTGGACCTATCCTACACATCTCAACTTCTGAACCAGTTCAGCTTTTAGCACCTGCTAGGCTCACAATCCCTGTTACGCTCCGGGAAGACGTACCCAAATGTCTGGATTATTCGGCCACTGACGTCAGGATATTTTGCCGAATCTCTGAAGAGGATGAAAGAGAATGGAACGAAGTCACAGAGCAGTTAGAAAATATAGCGGTTCTTGAAAATGGGACAGTGACGTTTACAGTAAATCACTTCTCAGAGTAAGTATACTCTTCTGGCTGTTTTGAAAGCAGAGACAAACTGCAAAGCATTCACGTGGGTAGGGTCGTGGTAAATCTTTTGCAGAAAAGAAATGCATCATTAGGTGACATCAGGGTGCACAAAACTACAGAAAAGAGGAAAAAAACAAAACAAAGGAAACCAAACGACTAAATTATTACTCTAAATCCGATTCGTCATCTATAGGTATTCTTTATAAACCTTAATCGACCTTTCAGGGATCTCAGTTTATTACACAATCGCGATGTGACTCGCTTATCAACGAGATCTCGTGGGAGAACGATTTGTTTTGTCCGCCCTTAACTGACGTAAACGTAGGCATGGTACGCATGCAAAAGATTTTTTTTTCCATGGGTGGGTTGAAATAGGCTTCTAAGTAACTGATGTTTGCATTTTTGTAAAAGAAAAGAGCCTTTACTTTCAAAAGATTCCAATGAAAATATCGATCAGTGGAGAGCAAAGAAACCTTTCAATTTATCCAAAATAAACTCTGACACACGTACTTTATAGTCTATTGCCACTCTTGTCTGAATAACTGTTGGCAAAAAGAAACTGCATTGACGTCACGCTTCCTGTAGTGTCATTCCCCTATTGCACTCTTTCCTTCGTTGCGTGACGAGACCAAGCAACGGTCTGTTCGCAGGCCAAGGCAATGGTTACTGTCGTTCCTTCGTCAGCGAATTTGATTGATAGCAAATGTGCACGTGAGAATTGCGTGGAAAACTGACTAACCGTAGCATTTAGTTCCATGAGAAATTTTCTCAGTGGGGTAGGATTATGTCATAAAATTTAGGCTGTTTACTGGAAAATGGCATTTAATCTGAGAAAGTTTCTCAGTAAAAAAAATGGGTTTTTTGCTTTAGGCTGAGAATATGTTTTTAACAATTCTGGGGACTGGCTTTAATCTTTTGTATTGGTTAAAATTTAAGCGTCGATCATTTCAAAGCTTCAAAATCCCCCCCCCTGGGCAACCCCCCAGTCCTTTGAACTTTTTGAAGATTGGTTCGTTTAAATTCCCGGCACCCCAAGGGCCAAAACTGCGTCTAAATTCCCCACTCAAGTGCCAGATTTTATGATCAATTACCCCTCTTCCAAAGAAAAAATGTTTAAATGGCGAGAAAAAGGCATGGTTTATGGCCTTTCGGTTATAAGCATAATTCTAACATATTCTACGATGTGAAATTTTATCATGCTGCTGTGTTTAGCCACTGAATGCAATACCTTCGAATGAATTATATTTGTTTTACATTTACAGCATTGGTTCATGTACTATTCAATAGCTGTTCATGCATACTCTACGGACAACAACTACTTTGTGAAAATAGCAAGATCAGCGCTGCGACTTACTGAATTGACCATTCAAGCTGTAAAACCTAAATGTCCGTGGGTTGTCTGGGAGGGGGGGTTGTTGAAACTTCGAATTGATCGGTGCTTTAGCAGTTAATCCGTAATTCTACGCAAGAGATCATTTGCATATATTCTCTGTTAAAAGATGCGCGCGCTCTGATTTGATGATGAATTATCGGGAATACTCTCTTAACTTTAATGACTCTATGAATAGATGTTGTTAAGTTTGTGTCGTTTTCCCTTAGGCACTGGGTTTGGATTGACCGATTGAAATTACCCTTTGTTACCCTAAAGAATCTTGCCGATGACTTCTGTAGAAGACTGATGTTACAAGAAGTAGGATTTTTTGCTCGTTTATATGCAACAGAAAATCCCTCGATCTACGTGCTGACTCTTTGCTGCTTCCCACTACATCTTAGAGAACAAGTGCAAACTCTATCTCCAGATCCTCGCCGCGTTTGTGCTCAAGGGGGAGGAAACTCGCGGAAGCCACTGTGTAAAGAAGATTGGATGTCTGTGTCTCTTTCCAACGCATTTACTTTGCAAAAAGGCAATCCATACAACCTCTTGAAGTGAGTTTAGTGTGAGTTTCTGTGTCCGGCAACTTGGAGTAGATGTGTAATGAGAAACATATCTTTTGCGTGGACAAATAGAAATACCTAGTATTTATATCTTCGTCTCATTTGTTTGTGCCAGGTTTCTCGGAACTGATCCTTTTGAAGGTAGTTTGCGTGTATCAATTAGCGACCTTAGTAACCTGCAAGTAGAGTTGTACATGGAGAAGCAATTTAATAGGGACACTCTATGCACGCTGTATTTCGTTCCGACCTTTCCAGATCAGGTATGTATTATATGAAGTTGAAAATATTGAACTATGGGAGTAAATTCTGATTAGGAGGTGTTTTAGAAACGTAATTTTGAAGCTCTTTCCTTCGGGCTGAGTAACTCAGGATTCACCCGCCCAAAAGATACCTCCATCTGTGCGAAGGTTTTATACCCCTCACGCTGCCGTGCAAAGTGCGTGACAAGGAAGCTTCACAGAAGATTAAGTTAGCTCTTTCAAATAACTCCTTCACTGTACTTCTTTTCTATTTATCATCTTGCATCTATTTGGCACTGGTGAGGTTAAGTTAGACTTAAATTGCTACTGGCAGAGCTAGACTACTCTTTTTGTGGGATATCTAGTCAGACAGTTTGCTGCAGCCTGAGTTTTACGGATTGTTAGTGAAAATAAAATAAAGACACTACCACTTGAGTGATTTTAAGTCCTTATGAAATCACGGGAGTGAATCGCAACAGAAATCGCACTCAAAGTCGCAGCAAAAAATCGTCAATTTTCTAGTGACGAGGCTAGAGAATTGATAGACATCATGTCGGATAAAATATTAAGAAATTAACTTTCTCTGTTGCAGACCTCTTCTCCCAGGTACTTTCCTTCTACAGCACAGGTAGCCATGCCTGAGCAAAAGGAAGATCAGGTGAAATTCGAAGTTCCGTGTTATTTACGTTTCCCTCAGCTTATGTTCGATATCATATTTTATCAGATGTGTCGGCCTCGGAAAAAAGAAAATGATAATAATTGATCATTTGATTTTGATGAAGTCACCGGCTGAAAAAAGCCTCCCACATGTTTAGTAGTTTCTATCAGCGCTTTCCAGTCTTCGTGTTGTCTGATCGTCCGGGTGAGTGTAGTCCTGACGACCCTAGGGACTGTTGTCGGTAGTACTGACTGACGTTTTGACAAACTCAGCACAAGTCATAATCAGACAGTCCAGTGAAGGGCTGTTGCCAGTCGATTGTTTTAAGTCCGGTTTGTGTAGACTGATTGGTCACGAATGCACACCTTGATAGAATCAATAGGGGAACTTTAAGGTGGGTTTTAAGTTAATATAATTTATCGCACGTTTCCATAACCTTGTTATGTTATTTCAGGTTGCGCTGGAATCCAGCACATCTTTCCCCTCACCGAAAGCACTTGAAGAAACAGCTTCAAATAATTTCTCAAAAGAATATTTGAAAGTTACAATCTTAGCAGATGAGTGGAATTCACTGAAAGGTGGATTATCGACGTTTAACAGAGAACTTGCCATTCATTTAGCAAGCCAATCCGACACTCAGGTCACTTTTCTTGTTCCTCACGGTTCATGTGGATTGGAAGAAAAAGCAGCAGCTGCGAAAAATTGTGTTACTATTATGGAGGCCAAGAAACTTACTGCATGCCCTTCCCTTGTAGAATTGTTTTTTCCACCGAAAGGCCTTGGAATTGATGTAGTAATTGGTCATGGCGTGAAGCTTGGTCAACAGGCTCAGATTATTAGAGAATCTCGTGACTGCAAGTGGGTTCAAGTAGTGCACACTGCTCCGGATGAACTCGGTATGTACAAGGACTATCCGAAAGCTATCGCACAAAGTGAAGAAAAGAACCAGCGTGAGGTTAGTCTATGCGAAATAGCTGACCTCGTCATGGCAGTCGGGCCTAAATTGAAAGGTTTCTACTCCAATCATCTACGTTCTTTCAACAAAGACCAAAATGTTGTGGAATTTACACCAGGAATTATGAGAGATTTAATTGATGTGAAGCTGTCGCAAGACGATAATGACGAGTTTCAGGTACTGATGTTTGGGCGTGGTGATGACGAAGACTTCAAGCTAAAAGGTTATGATATTGTCGCTGAGGCATTTGCAAGTCATGAGCTGAAAAACGACTCCTATCATCTCACATTCGTTGGAGCGATCCCAGGAAAACAAGACGAATTTGCAGCGAAGATTCTTAAATTTGGTATCTCTGAAAACCAGCTGTCTGTCAAAGAATATATTAAGGATAGAAATCGATTAAAAGAGCTGCTTCTTCGTATGGATCTGGTTATCATGCCTTCAAGAACAGAGGGATTTGGACTCACCGCTCTGGAAGCCTTATCCGCTGGTTTGCCTATCCTTGCTGGCCATAATTCAGGCTTTTCAAAAGCGTTGCAGAAGGTAAGATTTGGAGAACTCTGTGTAGTTAACTCCGATAAACCCGAAGACTGGTCAAAGGCGATCAAGAAAGTCCGTCAAAAGGAGAGAAAAAAGCGGCTAGACGAGATGCAACGACTGCGGGAATTTTATGAACAGAACTACAACTGGAAAGAACAATGCGAGATTCTTGTAAAGGAGATGAGGAGAAAAGTTTTTGGTAGGCAGGTTCTTTTTTTTCCTTTCCTTCCCTGCTCTATTCAAACCTTTAACAATTGAAGCATTGACTCTTTTTGAGTCTGCTTTTTATTTGTTTTTCTCTATTATTGTCCATTTATTCGTTTTTCTCGTCATTCGTTGATTGATTCATCGATTTGTCTGTTATTTATTCATTCATTTATGTATTTAGTTATTCATAAATCTGTATGCTTATCTATTCATGCCTAACTCTTTCTCCTTTCTTCTTCCCTTCATGTATGTCTTCCTACCTTTCTCTCTTTCTTCTTTCCTCTTTCCTACCGGCCTTTCCATCATCTCTTTACCAATATTTCTACTACCACTAGAAAACCAAGTTACATTCTCTAAATTTGCAGATTTAAGCCTTTAATTACTCTTATACTTTTCAGCGTAGAACCTCAGTACATGGACAGTAGACCTATGAAGACACCGTGAGAAGCAAACACTATGGTGATTCAACACAGAACTTTTTACTACTGAAGAAACTAGACAATTAACATATTTTTAGAATTTTTATTTCATTGTATTAGCCAGGAAAACGTTTACCCAAATTAGGCTCCGTAGGATCACCAGATTTAGATGTAAATATTTTAGAATATTTTATTTTAGTTTTGATATAAATTTCCTCGTAGTGCAATACTGAAGTTTAACAGTCAATGGTTTCACCCAGAGACCCGAATCAACAGTTCAAAAGAAAGTATGTTACTCATAAACATCAAATAGATATCATATTTGTTTTCACTTCCCGCCTTTTTTTGACGATAATGCTGTTCAACTTTATCATATTTGAGCTAAAAAGCTTTTCTCCACGGACACGAACTATTCTTGCTGCGTGGGGATCCTTCACATCTGTGTGGAAAATTGTGACTCAGAGACGCGAAGATGTGGTATAATGTTCGAGTGGTGGAGCAATTTTCAGATAAGTGTCGAGAGTTATCCGGGAGTTATCCTTCAACGTGCTCTGTGATTGGCTTAGATAACTCACGGCAATTAATTTCAATCAATAAGATGCAAACAAAAACAGTCGCGACTTAGTCACTGACGATTTCCGTCAGGCAGTTTTCCGTTTTTTATCCTTATTCTTTTTTCCTTCGAGTTTACGATGGTTTCTTTAGAGATATTTTTTTCTGCTTTGATCGACGGTTATGATTAGACACCCAAACGAAAAGTGCTCCATGGATAATAGGAATTGTTCTACCACGAGAACTTTACGATGATATGTTCGAACCTCCATCTGCCTTACTGTGAAACTATGTAGCACTTAATTGTTCAACAAGCAAGAACTCGAACAAATTCATGAGTTTAAAGCTCAAACCTGTTGTTGTCTCAAAAGTCGAGTCTGTCAACGCCCATCAAATAGGATAACAAAACACGGCCACTTTGATGCGTAAAATTGAAACAAATACTTGGTGAGTCACGCTTTTAAGGTTGCAAAAATATTTCATCTGGCATTTGAAGGTTATAGCATTCTTAATCCTTAGTTGTGTATTTCGTTTTCCAGACCAACATACTATAGTTGACACTCTAGCGGTATTTCGGACAACATCTATGGGAATACGCCCCACTAGGCAGGAAAAAGCGCGATCCTCAACGGTATGAGGCAATTGTGAAAGATCCGTCGCAACGCACAGACGTGTATAACAACAATAAGACGTGCACTCAGTAGAAATTCTGTAATTCCGTAGGAAAAAAAAAATCTTTCAAATAAACATACTACTATAAGTTGTTTTTTTTTCTTTGTTATGTCTCAAGTAATAGTTATAAAACCTATTTCATACTTCGATCCTCCACCCATAAGTTAGTTTTACCTTTCAGTTATTCTCCTAGAGGCTTCGAAAAGAGATTAGTTCGAAAAGAACTAATCGAAGAAATGAGACCGATTGGGACTAGAATGACGTGCTCATTCCTCTAATCCTTTGTTAGACAAGCAGCGGTTGGTTTTATACAACGAACGTTGTCGCAATGCAAGAAAGAATCTGGCTGTGCTGTGGTCTTTTACGATTGCAACTGACACTGATGATAATATTTTCAGTAGCATAGTAAATGAAAGCCGGAACAGAAAGGCGAGAGACGAAGCTTGATCGTACTTTTGCGATGCTTCCATGTTTCAATACGCATTCTCAACCATGACACTTTCCCTTAGTGTGTATCTAGCAGTTTTGTGCGCGATTTTAAGCGTCAAGCGGCGGAGGCTGCGAAGGACAGGCCGTGAAGCTGCGAGAGGCTTTGAACGGAAAAATTGACGGTGTTTTCCACCCGAAACTTCCCCGCTCGTCTTTACGGCTCTGTTGCCTTTATTTTCACTTGGCACCCAAAAAAAGCTGCTACCTTTTGAACATGGACGGGACAGTGCAAGTACACAGATATTTGAGAGTTCAGTCCCTGAGCCCTCCCTACCGCCCCCTATACCTCGTCTTGGGAAGTATTCAGCAATGTTCACCTCGCGAATACTTGATTGAGATAAATTACCGATGGAAGGGACCAATCGCCGTAAGAGTCAGGCTGCATATGGCCAGCGGTGTAACCCAAAGAGAGAAAATTCAACATGGCGTTTCATGGTTGCTTCAGTTTTCGGCTGCAATAAGATCACGGTTTCCTCCAAAGAGATTGCAAGCCGGTTCTGCCAATGTTGATAAGGAAAGTAGTGTCGCTATACAGGCGAATATTTTGAGTAGCAAGGCAGTGGAGAGTTACAACAGATGCAGATACTGAGGCGGAGAGACTGTACATCCAAGATGAAGCCAGAAAATTATTCCTTAAGAACAAGAAGGCGTGTAAGGATTTCTGGAAATTTCTGCTAGTATTTTGATCTTATGATATAATTTCCAGTGTTTCATTTTCATAGTGAAGGAATTTGAGATGAAGTGGTTATGACTCATCGCTTCTTAAACTGAATCAAAGATCATGCATACCAGTGCACACTTCCGAAGGCCAAGCCTTCGTAATTTTAATGATGAAATTACGGGATATATGAAAATGTTGCTTAATTCTGCCTTTTTAAAAGATTTCAAATGAAAAGGTCATTTCTACTTGTGAACTTTTTGCTTTGCGCCTGTCAATATATTAGCTTCTACAGCCGCTTTAGTTTGGTTTGTACAATTTAATTTTTAGATGAGGTCTTTGCATGAGACAGAATTTAGAAAATATCTTATTTGTGTACTGTCTCTTACAAGATTCAGTGCCGAATTATGGATCCTTTTGGCTTTTGCTGTTGGTTGCTAAATGTTTTTGGTTTGTATTGCCTCAAGCTACTAAGTGACTGGAAACTGAACATTATTCTGATATTGCAGATCACTAACACAGAGGAGATAAAACTTTGTCTTCATGAGGCCAATGCGCGAACAGAGATGGTTATGTAACAAAAAAACTCTCATCACTTAGCATGCTCAAGCTACTAAGTGACTGGAAACTGAACATTATTCTGATATTGCAGATCACTAACACAGAGGAGATAAAACTTTGTCTTCATGAGGCCAATGCGCGAGCAGAGATGGTTATGTAACAAAAAACTCTCATCACTTAGCATGCTCAGGGGCAGATCGCATGTACAACAAGTAATCTTGCTCAATATTACGGTGGAAAAAGGGAGTAAGGATGTTGTTTTGGTAAGAGGGGTGGCCTCCCACTGCTGTGGCCCAGGTTCAATTCCTGGACTCGGTGTCACATGTGGGTTAAGCTTGTTGTTTGCTATGGTCTTTGCTCCACAGGTTTTTATCCGAATCCTCCAGTTTTCCTCCCTCCACAAAAACAAACATTCCAAATTCCCATTCTACCTGCAAACAATGAACAAAGGAAAACCACCTTGTGGATAGACTACAAGCAGTCCGTCCTTTTCGGCGAAGTCCGTTCTGCGGATAAGAAAAGAAATCAGTGGAAAAAAATTGACCAGAGCGTGCTGCGGTAGTTGTAATTTTGACTTCATTGCACGGTACTCAAAACGTAGTCCTCGGCACATCAAGTCAAAATTAGAGCTCCTTCGGCGAGCTAACGTCAATTTTTTTTTCGCTGAGTTTTTTTACTACAGTGATGAGAATTTGATGTGGAAGTCGTTTTCTTTTCTCTTTTCTGGTTGTATGTTAAACGCTCCTTCATTTTAAGGTCAGAGGCAAGCTTGATGCCAACAGCCTTGCTGTCGTGGATTACCAAATGAAACTATAGGGACAATTTCAGTGTCCAAAAAGTAGGTTAAGATTCGTTTTTCGGGATTGGTAATATCGATTGTGAACGTGCACAAATAAGCCGATGATTTTCAAGACCAAATCTGAAAATATTTGTAATAAGTAGTGCCACATTCTCAACAACAGAAATGGTTATTGCCATCAAAAAAAATTCAGATTTCTAGTATCTCGATAAACGGTATTGTTAAGGAATTAAAGAACATGTGTTTTTTAGACGACGAGGGCAGGCGGAAGTTTCGAGTTCTTTTCCCTGACGCTTGTTTAAGAGCTTGTTTAGTTTGAAATGCTATAGGCATGGCTTTCCAGTTTTAACGTTGATATGGAAGCACGTCAGAAGTATCCGAATTCTCCTTTCAGTCGTTGTTTTTGTCAGAAGAAAGATCTGTGCTGAAGTTCCATCAGTTTTAAGGATAGTATGGAATGTTCTGTAAAGAATCAATTGAAGAAAAGAGTAAAGATCTGTCTTTGTACAATACGTTGAGAGAATATCATTAGCATTTAGATATGTTGCGGATAGCTTTATCGTGTACTTCTTGTGGGATTTGCAGGAGGTGGATCGCTACAGAACAGCTATCAGAAAGATGGCGGCTGATCTCCCGCATGTGCGAGAGAATTGCAAACGTTCAGAGGTGATTAGGTGTTGAGTGTTAGGAACCGTCTGGTTTTCTAGTAAGATGAGTTGATAATTTCAACTCGTTGTTTGCACAAGTCCAGCTCAGCGAAAACGATGTTTTCATTTTAACTACCTTTTTATTCTACAAGGCTTGTGTGCTTCTTGGTTGCGATAAATCTTAAAATTTTCAAGGAACGATCAGGTTAAAAGAGGAAGTCTGGGAGACTGTCACGAATTTATCATGGGAACTGAACCTTTCATGAAACTACCAGTTGAGAAGGATACGTAGTGGTGACTGACTGCTTGTCTGATTTTGTTTCAGATCACCAGGAGAACAGCAAGTGGTTGGTGCAAGTGTAAGTGTGTCACTCTTGAATCAAACGCATTTGATTGCTAGTTAACTGGTTTCTTTAGCAGAGAAGTGTTCATTTAACACAAAGCTTTCACTGAGAGAGCTACGTTGTAAATGTGGTTTCCAAATTTTTCGGCTGCCCATCAATTAGTAGAAAAAACAAGTTCTTTGCGAGCGGCGTAGAGTTTCAATTGAAAATTCACAGTGGACCCTTGGCTAAAGATGACTTTAAGTAAGGCAAGGTTAATACGTTGTAATTTTGCCTTGAAGATCAAGAAATCTTCTTAGCCATATACGTGGGGGTGAAAAAGGCAGATGGATGACGATTTTTGAGTGGAAATCTCGATCAGTCCATGGACTTCCTATTTTTTTCATAGGACAGTAATGATTACAGTAGTATAAACACTTTTAGGGAAAGAGGTGTAGGATGAGATCCACTTATTTTTTTCATTCCAAAGGTTTTATTTTCGCCGTTGACAGAATTCAAATGTTTTTAAAACATGACGAGACTTGCGTTGCGCAAAAGTCTACTTGAATTGTCCGTTTGCAGAATGGACCGATGTCAGACATGGAGCGACTGGAACTTTTTGAAAAACTAGAGAAAGCGGAGGGACGGATTGTTGCTCTTGAAAAACAGGTGAAGCACTCAGCTGCATTGCTTCACTTTTTGGAAATGTGGAGGTTTGCTTTATCTGACATGTCATAAGGTGGTCAAAGTTTCATTACTGAATTGCCCATTTTATCCTCTGCTATCCTCTGCTAAGTCCAATCAGTCATTCGGGTGAGAAGACAAGAAAGCTGTCTGATAGACAAATGAATAAAGTGGGTAAGTTTTTAAAGAAACTGTGGTGCTGCGTCGGTGGGAGAGTATAGCAGGTAATTTAGTGTTAATAACTGGGTTGAAAACGTAAACATATCAAACTCTTTCCCCAGTGCGACGAACATTTGTTCTTCTCGGTTCCAGGTGTACGCAACCACTAACCCCACGTAATGCGCATGCTCTCCGTTACGAATTTTCAAAATGGCGGACAAGCCAAAGAAAGAAAAAAACAAAGCGATTTTGCAATGAATACTCAACATAAACCCTCGTTAGAAAGGCGAATCCACGGAGGAAAGATACAAAACTGTATGATACTGAGATCGATATGATATTAAATCGATACCGAAAGTCCGTTTCCAACTTGCTAAGAAGCGCATTTAATTGCCTTCCGCCACCATCACTAGCTTTCTTGACAGCCTTCTGAAGACAGAATACTTTCTTTCTGAAGACTTCTAATGTGCGGCTATTGATTATTACACCTCGTATACCTGATTGCTCAAACACTTTGCTTGCGATTGTCTCTTAAAAGAGACATCGCCCGAGACCCTTCGCTCGGTCGTGTTTTGATCAAAAACACCTTGTTAATTTCACGCAACCGCTCGGAGAAAAGGTAAAAATGACGAGGGAAAAACTTAACCTTCAAGTTAGAAAATTAGCGAAATAGAAAGCCACAATATTATAGTTTAATATTTTAGAGGTACATTGAGTGCTTTTTCCGTAGAGAATCCGCACAATGGTAAAACATTCGAAAATT